AAAAAGAAATAAAAAAATATAAATGATAATAAAGGTTCCGTGCATCGAACTTTCATCTCCCATTACTAAAACCATCATCCATTAGTCCACCATAATCATAAAGCTTTAAATCAACTGTACTATATAATAGTTTGTTGCCCTCTATTTTAGTATCTTCTGTAGATTCACCTGACGACGGTAGAGGCTCTTCGCCGTCGCGAAGCGGCATCCAGTTGGGACGGCGTGGCTCCTACAAAACGTCACGAGGTGAGTTTTTTTCTTTTGGGGCTCATTATACTTTATTTTTAATTTTTTTCCGTTTACTCGTCTCGCTTGATATATATATATATATACTCATTATATGCGCACCGGCTATTGATTTTTGATTGTTTATAATTTTACCAGCGATATAGTTGCGTAGAGACTGATTGTTTTTTTACAGGCTCGTTATAGCTATGTGGTATGAGCGTATAATCGTAAAACAAAGCTCATTCACAGCAAGGATACAAGAACAATAAAAAAAATTTTTAAAAACCACATAATACAAACCAAACTCTATAACAAAAAACTCACAAACATACTTTTAAGTTTCTTTTTGTGCTAGTGTATATTATGTTTCGTTTCGTATGTGGTTGTCAAATGCGAGTAGGATGTAATTTGTGTTGAATATTTTTATCCAGCTTTTACTATCCACATAATATTATGTACCTCATATAAATTTGAATGCAATATTTTATTATCCGCACCACAAGTATGCACTGCCTATATTTCATTGTATGTGTAATGTGTATGTAACTTGAGCTCTGATGCTCGGCTCGTAGTCAACGTATCCGAGACGTAAGATGTTTACATTGTAATCAAAGGTACAAGTAATGATAATTATGCCAAGCATTCTTATCTCTTTTCCACCCTTGCCCCCCCCCCAATCGCCCAAAAAAAACAAGCATTAAAAATGTTAATACAAAAATCAATCGTACAAGAAGAGTGTGTGAGCGATTGTAACACAACGGAAACGTTGCATATTAATTGCAGATGCGCAGGAAGTTCAGCAACAAGTTAGAGGCAGGCCTAAATATCCAAGTTACCAAAACTTTAAAGGAAGAAAATCTAGTTCGTTGATGAATCTGTGCGGTAAGGAGCACCAGAGTGACACTTGGAAACATATACACACACATATATTATAATAATAATAATAATAATACTACTTTTTATGTATAATTATATTATTAATATCATCATATCCCTGACAAGTCGACATTATTTGTACATTTTTTAATACTCTGTTTATGTGTTATCGTGATGCTATACAAGTCTTTTTTATATATGTTTCCTTTGACACACACTAAGCATAATATGATACAATTGAACAACATTTTTTTTTCTCTTACATAGGCCTTTTTAGCATTTTTACGTAATTATTATGCAATAAACGTATACTAAAGTTTAACCGTATTTTCCATAACATCACACACATAGTTGTCTCTTTCTCTCTCGCATGGTGGCAGCTGGCAGAACAAATAGATACAATTAATTTTTTGGTGGAAGCGTTGAAAAAACACCACACTTATCTATATAATATACTGCGTTTACACCTCAATACTGCACACACCGTACCCTTACAGCACTGCTGTTGCTTTGGACCTACGTAGTCAAGTTTACCCACAATATACTTAAGCTTTGAACTGTGCAAAGGTACCTGGAAAAAAATTAAAATTAAGCCGTAGTACTTTAACACGTTTTAAAGTTATATTTTGAATAAGCTTTTCTTTTGATCCATTTTTTCCAAGTACCTTTTTTCTGACATCACAACAAACCTAGATATAATACACTCGTGAGCTTTTGGCGCAATGATAATTTGTAATTTTCACAATCTGTTGGAGATATGCTGCTGTTTGTTGACATGATAATAAATATTAGTCGTAGTTCAAGGTGCAGCATAGAAATCATTCGAATCAAATGTCATTTAATTAATAGTTATCATCACGTATTGTTAATGTCATCATATGAATGATTTAAACAAGAAAAAAAAGTGTGATATCTTGTTCAAAAAGTTTGTTGTCCTAATACTCTACATGTTAGCATCGGTGGTGGTTTAGATTAATCAATAGTGCTTTTGACAAGTTACTTTATTTTTTTCTTTTTAACAATAGAAAAAAAAGGAAAATAAAAAATAATAAAACAATTAATACATCGTATTAAGACGAAGGGTGTTTTTTTTAATGGGTTTTTAACATTTTGGTTTAACCTTTTTTTCATCACATGACAGCCATCCATTGTGGAAAAATCTCACGATATCTAATGTATCTTGTCACCCGCAGATACGGACAGTGGATTAGGCCGAGCAACGCCACCAAGACGCGCACCCAGTCCCGGTATGGGAAGCATGAGACACCTGCCATCGCCCTCGGGACCTGGTTCCCTACCACCGGGTCTCATGACCAAGCGAAGAGTCTTCGACGACGGCAGCAGTGACATCAGCAGCACACCCAGTTCCATGATGGATTACAACGGTAATGAAACTCCTCGTACCTTTCAAATGTTCTCCCACATACAAGCTAATCGTCCTTGTGATGATTTTCAGGTCCGCGGTTATACAAGCAGCCGGCTACCAAGTCGAATCGTATGATAATGCTCAACGCCGTGGAATATTGTGTGTTCCCGGGTACGGTAAACAGAGAGGCGAAGAGCCGAGTACTCGACGAGATTTCAAGGTCGGAGAGCAAGCACTTCCTCATACTCTTCCGTGACGCTGGTTGTCAATTCCGAGCTCTTTACTCGTACTGCCCCGACAGAGACGAGATCAGCAAGTTGTACGGGACCGGGCCGAAACAGGTGGTGGATAAAATGTTCGACAAGTTTTTCAAGTGAGTAGCTATTTTTTTTTTTTTTTTTTTTTTTTTTTTGACATAGGACTGACAGGAGTTTATGGTGTTTTTGTTTTATTTTTTTTCAGATACAATTCTGGTGGAAAATGCTTTTCCCAGGTACACACGAAACACCTGACTGTCACCATTGACGCCTTTACGATACACAATAGCCTTTGGCAAGGCAAAAAGGTGAATCTACCAAACAAAAAGGATATGGCGCTCGTCATATAGTTTTACACGAGAAACAAATTTAACATTATGCTAACGTGCCCTCTGTTGTTCATAGTTACTATTTTAATACAGGCCCATATTAAATTGTAACAAAAAACGCGCTGCGTTCTTAGTCAGTTTTGTATTGAGAGGAAGAAAAAAAAAAAAAAAAGTTAAATAATAATACGTATGTAGGTGAATGAACGAAGAATGAGTATAGAGAGAAAAAGAAAATAGAGGAATGAAAAAAAAAAAGAAAAAATAAACAACTTCGTCACTGATCGGTGCTGACAGCGGACGTTCGTACGATCGTTTTTCGATGTGTGTATACAATTTATCGAGCGTTAACATTTTTTTTTATAAATATATAAATATGCGTTGCTTTAAGACTTGCTTGTTTTTTAATTACCGTCAGGAGTACGTCGTCAGCACCGATGTATGTTCTATCGCTATAAAATATATCGGTATTTACTATACAGGAATTGTTAATTATCGGCAACGCTTATTGTATCGGCGACTAACTCATTATCGCGACGTTTTATCTTGTTATCTTGCATAAGACTATACATAGCTAGTTTATATTCTATATGTACAGTTTATATACATGAAGAAGAAAAAAAACTTTTTACATTTTTTCTTTTTTCAATCATTGTCGCCGCTCTCCTGATTATTCAGTTTAAATTTAAGTTAATTTACCTATAATGCTGTATTATAGTATTTATTCTTGTTAGCCAACTACTAATATAATTTCTTATCCTAAACATTGGTTTCTTTTCCATTTGTGAAAGTAGATTCATTTGATTCTTCAATTCGACAATGATCTACCTGTCAATATGTTTTCATTAAAAATGATTGTTTTTTTTTTTCTTAAAATTGTACGGCATTCGGCAAGTCATTGAAGTTATACAATTTTCTATGTTAGTTGTAGTTCATTACGATTTTGTTTAAGTTTTAGATGTAAATTTTAATAATATTGCGATGTACTTAAAAATTTTTATTCAAGAGAAATTCATTTTTAATATACTAAATACTTTTTTGTAGTTTTCTATTCATAAAGATGCGTGTTAAATTCCATTTTTTTGACGTGACCGTTTATATACAAAGTATTTATTGTCAGATTGGAGTGAAAACTTCCAATGCATTATTAAGATAAAATTTGAAATTCCACGTTTCATTACAGAACAAGCTAGTTTTACATTGTACATCAACATTGTACACGTTTGAATCCATAGGCATAAAATTTAAACAATAAATTATATCAAATTCAGGATGAATCTTATTAAAATAAACATTTTTTTGTACTCAGTTACACAAAACCAAAACAACTGTGTAAAGCAGAACGCTTGCTCTATATCAAATAACTTTTCTTCAATTTAATGCCAAAATAAAATATTATATGTTAAAATTTCCAAAGTAGTTGAATGTATAATTAAAAACATACCTCGAACATACCTTTCATCTTGAAACTTTTTTTTCATTGTTTAAAGTCTAACGAACTTCTTTTATAACAGTATTGTGTTCAGTGCAAGAGTAACAGCTTATGAATTTTTACGAGGAACTTTAATCGCAGTATTATGACGAATTATCTTTGAATTCAAGATTACATACTTGGTTCGAACTTGAATATCAAATAAAATTGGTACTATTTTAATTATTTTTCGTCATTAATTTTTCCCTATTTACAACGCAGAAAAATGTTGTTTACCAGTTACAAAGTTCATTGGAATTCCAACTTTATTTTTTTGCCAAACACAACATTTGGCATAAAAATAAATAGAGAGGGTATTTCTGCAAAACACATAGTGATTTCAATGAATTGAAAAAAATTTCGGGAGTAAATAAAATAAAATACAAAATGACAATTATTCGTTCAGACAAAATACATTGTCGAATCCATGGTGTGAATGTGACATTAAAGAGCGGTTGTTTCTTCCTCGCCTTAATTCTCTGGCATGTTTTTTTTGTTTTGTTTTTTAATTCTAATGCCTATCACATTCATACTGCATTGCAAACATTTTCATTCTTATAATGATACGAAAATATCGAAATATTTACATAATACGGAGGAAAATAGTTTTGCATCGTTATTGCCAAACTTACGAAAATTGCGAAATTAACGGCAGTGGTGACCATTTTTTCGCTAACGTACAATTTTTAACTGGATTATTTTATACTATTTAGTATTTCTAATGACTTAAAAATATTTCTGATGGGTAATTTTAAACAAATTCATGTAGGAAAATAAAATTCATGCATTTACACGTATATGAGGGCATTTTATGCATTGGTAAATTTTCAGTGCCATAATTTAAAAAGTCAATTTTATAAATTTCGAAAGCAACTGATAAATCAAAGTTCTTTGTAAAATTGAAAGCTTACATTATAAAAATCATAGACATAATGTAGCAACAAATTTAATTCTTGCAAAAACTCGATATGACAATATTGTAATAAAAGAAAAAAAATTTACTGAGTACATCAATGGCAGAGAATTAAAGTCGACGAGAATGATTGATGAAATTTAACATAGTCATTATTTATAAGAGTTTCGTCGTCTCGTTAAGACACAAATGATGTGTGTTAAAATGTCATACAAACAGAGAGATTACTTTTATGAACTGTATCAAGCAGCTTGGGCTTAGCATTTATATTTTTCGCTAAAAAACAAAATATAAACAATTTTTTCGGAGCTCCATGAAGCTGTTGAGAAAACAATAAAAATACTAACAAGATATGTTTGACCGAATAAATGAGAGCCTTTGGAAAAAAGAGCAAGGAAAATGAAAACTATAAACTATACTAAAATAGAAAAAAAAAAAAAGAATCTAATTTGCTCTCAAACGAAAAGAAAATTGCCCTTACTAATTATAAATATAGTTTGCGAAGGTGGTTCTTAAACATGTAATTTGAAGTCATAACATAATATATAACATTACAAGGCGTTATTTATAACATGGTAATTTATTCATGTCTGTAAATATTTATGTTTTTATATGTATACATACGACGAATCGAAAGAAGAAAAACCGCTACATATATATATATTTATGAAACACAAGTAAAATTCGAATAATATTTTACTGTTAGTATATCTTTGAAAAAAGATGTCATTAATAAAAATGAAATAACCAATAGTCGTTTGATTTTTGCTTATAAAATTATCACAAAAGATTATCCTTATACTAATATCCTTAGACATATGTAAAAACATAAATTATTCATTTTTTAATATTTATGTTACATCCTTATTTTTCAAATTTTTATTTGTTGCAAAGCAATACATTGCGGGGATTAGATATTATTTTACGCAGAAGCAGCAAAAAGTGAAGTGAATCTTATATATCGTTGACTGAATAAATCTTGAAATTAAGTTATAAAAGGGATTCAAGGATATTTATTTCTGTCTATGGTACGCGTTAGTGAGCATCTAATTTTTTTGTTTACCAGTTGTCCGTACGAAAATATTATATTTGAATTATTGGGTATTGATTGTTGAAAAATAAATAACTGGCTGAAAGTGTAATTTGAGTTGTAAAGGTTATAAACAAAAAATTGATTAATTTATTGATTAATCAAGAAACCCAGGTAACAATATTTTTTAAGGTTTACTTTAGTGTTCGAAGAATTAAGATTAAAAAATAAATAAAAATAGTTTTAAAATGGTGTTTTTCTAAGACCCAATAATTTTTTTAAAGACTTAAGTTAGAGACCTTAACTTTTTAAGTTCCAGCCCTAAAAACTGATTTTTAAGATTTTTTAAAAACTTTTTTGGTGTTTAGAGTGAGATTACCATTTTTTCTGGTGTAATAAAAAAGGTTGCAAATCGTATTTTTTCGAGGATTACAAGTAAGTTGATAAATTAAAAATTTACAAAGTCTTACAGTCTTACAGCTAGTATAATTTTTCTTTTAAAAAAAATTTTCTAGACTTGTAACTGTTAACTGGTTGTACAATCACGTTTTGAAACAGTGACGCATCACTATTTTTTCAGGGGGTTCAAAAGTATTTTTTCGGAAAGTGAGAGGCAAGAGGGGGTCCTAAGTATAGTATACAAGTAGAAAATAGTAACATAAAATTTATTTTTCAACTAAATCAATTATGTTAAACGTACTTTGCGCGACTTGCTTTATTGTGGCTACGTTTCTACTCACTTATATTAATGTGAATAGTTAAGTATTAATTAAAAAAATATATTTGTACGATAAACTAATTCCATTTTTATTTTTTCTGCGATTTAATGCAATTGATCTTAGAAAAATCCCGCTAAACAATACCCTCGACTGGTTTTATCCAACCACAAACGAACAAAAAAGCGTTAGTCACGTGACGATCAGTCTCTTAAGGTATGATCGTATGATTTTTATATCGTCAGCCTTTTATAAATTATTAAGAAATTACTGAAATTTTTGAAATTTGATAACATATAAATTTATATTATACATGAGACGAGTCTTTTCTGTATTGATGAATGCAATATTTTTTTAACAAACTATGCAGAAGTATTAAGTGTATACTCATGTAAAGCTGATGAAATGTTATAGCTTGTTCAATGTTGACAAGATAAATATATTTTGCAAGAAAATTTTAATATTTCAAGTAAAAATACTACAGTAAGTTTTACTTATAGACAATAAAAATGTAATAAAATAAATAAAAATTATTATTCTAAGGTTTAATTATTAAACAGAATAAATACATTTTTTTCTTGACTCGGTCAATCTAACAAATAAAAGAACGAAGTTGGCAGCGTTTTATTGATGCATGATAATAGTATGAAATTTTTCGGATGGTATTATTTTAAAATGATATTTTTTGAGCTGATCTATCGGTCATAAAATGTGGAATGATAATTTATTCAAAAGAGTAAAAATAACAACGTAATCATTTCGAGTAGTGTCACTATCGTAGTTAAAAAATTTAGTTATTATTAAAAAAATTATTGAGGCCAAAAATCGTTCCAATAATTTTTTAAAATTTATCATCTACGTGGTTATTTCCTGATTAGAGTTTCAAGGTGTAAAATTATATATTTTTATGATAAAAAATACCGGGAACAATATTAAATTTACTGTATGACTCCAAGCTCATTTATTTAGATGATGTTAAAAAACTATTTTTAAAATTATGTTCTAAGACGATGTATATTATTATTATCCACTATAGCTCTGCGTAAAACGTACTGACTTTTCAGGCTTTCATTCTGTTGCATATGCTGCCAAGAAGCGTAGCTCAAACAGTATTTGGAATCATTTTTTTGTGAATATTTTCGCGTTATTAACTTTTGATCGTGCTGATTTAGACTTTTTTCCCCTCAGTAACAAGTGGACATAGATGATATTTTGACTATAGTATACTATCTAATTTGAGTTGAAGGTAAGCATCATAAGTCATATTTGTTGTTTGATCAAGTGCAACTGGGTACTCATGTAGCAGTTATCAAAAGTAAATATGTCGTATTATTAATAAATTTTACAATTATGGAATAAATACAAAATTTTTTTTTTTTCTATTTGTTATCATTGTAATGTGCATATTACGTAATAGTTATATTATAGACTGCAAGACTTACAACTACCTAGTAGTATAATATTGATTTTTATCAAGTACTATGATTTTACAAAATAATTTCCAAATTGATTCAAAGTAATGATAATACATAGTAACAATAATATTGCGTATCCAAATTGATTTAAAGGATAACTGCTGTATGTAACCGAAAATAGTAATATTGAGAAATAAATTGTATGCAGCTGATTTCTTGCTGATTGAAACCCTAAAAAGTAGAAAGTGGATTTTTTTAAAGTAACTTTTTCCGTTTTCTTTAAATTCCAGATCACAAAAAGCAAACACAACCACAGCCTCTACTCTGTATTATTAACTAACATGGTTGGAAGCGTCAAACCGGATTCAACCTGCCTAAGTAAAAAGCTCAACAAGTGCACGTACTGTTCGAATGCTTTTTCCCGTAAAGAGGATATTAAAAGGCACGTTGGCACATATCACCCTTACCGTTGCTCTTCGTGCACATCGACTTTTACCAATCACCGAGATAACATAATTCATATGTTCAATAAGCACAGTACTCGATCAATGAAGTCACGTAAAGGTGAACAATCATAGTGGCTTGTGGACAAGAATACAATGGCTTCAACAATAACTGCAGGTATTTATCCCTAATTTTTTTGTGTGGGATAGGCAGGCAGTCTGTGCACTGTATACGGTATTATTGTAAATCACTATAATTAATCAAAAATACTTTGCATTAGAAAAAAAAAAAAAATAATAATAAAACAATTTCTTACGATAGAGTGATCAACTAATATTAAATTATTTAGTGTTTTGATGTATACAAACAATGTTTGAGTATCGAGCCAATCCAAACTATCAAGAATCTGATCAAAAATACAGAAACAGTTAAGAAGTATTTATGCTGTTTATGCACGACAGTTTTTTTCTGTATAAATCAAAATATATTTATAGTATAGCCTACGAAATTGTCCAAGTTAAAATTAGTGTTTATTTTAATATATTAACACGAAATAATACAGATAGTGTTCAATAATAGATCCAATGCTTCTTGTGGACTTTATAATACAGCATAATTTTTTAATAATTAATAATTTNCTTCTTGTGGACTTTATAATACAGCATAATTTTTTAATAATTAATAATTTATATTAATAATATATTATTGTATCATAATAATAATTTTAATAATTAATTATTCATTTTTTTTATTCAATCAATGACGATTCACTGATTTTGTAGTCCAAGAAAATTAACACCCTTGGCAGACGTATGAGCTAAATAACCGTTATTTATTCAAATTACGATTAAATAATCGAATATGTACACAATAAATTTTAGAACATCGTCCACGGTTATACGGCCATCTATCTTGAATCTTTATACTATTGTCTGACGATTTACACCCAAGCTTTATAAATTTAGTGGTAGTTTCCACATCTTTTTATAATGTTAGTATATTAAACTGAAATACTGTTAATGTTACGCAAAAACATTTTTATGTAAGATAAAAATTTTAATTAAATAATCATTTTTTTTTTTTTTTTAGTTAAGAAGTTAATTAATACTTCAAGTAGTTGTATGGTAACTCATATTTAATTCAGAATTTAATTATTTTTAATTTCAGATTTACCAGCTCTCCATCTACGGGTGCACTTTTGTAGCTTCCGTTATACTACTTAATGAAATCGAAGTATAATTAATACACATCGATAATTAAAATTTGATCGTTAAAATTGTGGTCAAATCATCAACAGTTTTTATTTTACTTTATCTTCAAACATTTTTTTGAACCAGATCTTCACTTCAAGAAAAATGATTAACCAATTTTTAAAGAACATTATTTTGCTGATTTATATGTACATCAAGGTGTAAGTAGTGTGAGTGTATAATATTTTTATTCAGCTCTCAACTTACGCACTGATAAATAAAAATGCTGCATACATAATATAGTTAAGCTCACTCGTGTTATTTATTTACTTGAGTACATTATTTTTTTATTCATGACTCTACGAAAAGCGTACTGGCATTTGCTAGACTATTATTCATATACTACCAAGAAGTATATATTATAAACAACATCTGAATAAATATGCTCAGCAAAAATCAATTATTACACTATTAACAATATCTTTTTCATTATATATAGATAATGAATTTGGGAATCATGTGTTACACATTCGTATTTTTAGCTTTTGATTGTACGGATCATGCTTTTATTTCGATTTTGGTTAATATTTTGATTTCAGTTTTCGTACTAACTTTTGATTAACAATACATATCTCCCAGTGTCTACATACTATGTAACGAAGGTGGAAGGTGAGCAGCATAAATCAGAATAAATTTTACAATTTGTGATGAGAAACTACGTGTGTTATTTAATAAAGCACAGATGAGTTTAGTTTAATATTTATTATTGTTTTTAACTTCTACGACAATTAAATTAATAACAAACAACTTTATTTATCCTATTGCTTATTATTACTCGATAGTCGTGTTACTTGATGTGTCATTTACGCATTGATCAAAACTCATGATTTTCGAAGTTTCTAGCACTGAAACAACTGCATTTCGGAAGTTAATATTTTTGGTCTTTTTTTTTAACACTAAAGCGTAACTGTAACTATGGTACAAAACAGCGAATCTACAAATTCAGAATATTTCAATAATTTTTTTTTAAACAGGTACAGTTAGCTGCTAATTGTAGTAAATGTGGGTATTTTTCACTAATACAGCAGTTAAGTAAGTTATGATTAAATATGCATACACCTATAAACATGGCAATGCCCACATTTTAAAACTTTTGGTTCGACTAAAGTGGAACCACATTTTAATTTGCATGTGTCTATCATGTCAAGTATAAGTGATTACCTTACTATCTTACAAGGTTTGATATTAACTTTTCTTGATCATAAGACATTCATATATTTTTTAACGTCATACCTTATGAAGTACCTATCAGACATCTGTTTTTTTTTTCAATGTTGATTAGACAACTTATTAGTTCATTGTATTTAATTGATATATTTATTGAACAAAAAAAGGACTGTTAAAACTAAAATAGGTCCCTTTTATTTTACTAAATTAGGAAGGAATCAAGTCTGAAGAGTGTAGAATTTCAGAGGTACGAGTTTTTAATACTTTTCAAAACATTGAATACTATAAGAACTTTATAATATGTATTTCATTTTTAAAAGAGCAAGAGTTGTTAAAATTGTTTAGTAAAAAAAATGTTTCTATTATGTATTCCATGCATATTGAGAGGTAACTAGTTACCGATGGTATCCCACCTACCCATTATGCAAACTCTAGCTTTATTACACTTGACACATACATCTAGACAGTTTTATCATTCGTATATTACTTGAACGTTTTAGATATTTTTAGTATTACATTTTTATTCACTTTCATTAGCGAATAAAAAAAAAAACAATTGTGATGTCTAAATTATTTTTTACATTACCTGAGTAACATTCTTTTCACTTTAATCAAGAAATGTTCATTAAATGCGAGTGTGGTCACGATAATGGAGTACAATATATTTATATTCAGTGTTTTTTAAACCATACAGAACTATGGAATTCTATTGAAGATGCGTGTTAGAGATTTATTTTTTAATGAACCATTTTTTACTAAAAGTTTATTTTATTACTTTAAATTTTTTGCTATCGCACCTTTGAGTTTTAATATCAAAACAGCAACGAAAAACAACAATAACATTCCGTCTCAACTGTTTACCTCTTGTAAATACAGTGTCGTTTATAATATAATATTGAAGCTGGCAATGCCAGTGTCCTGTGTATTTTCTATTTTATTTTATTACAAAAATATTTTACGAATCGATTTTGACAGGATAATCGATATCGTCCAGGACATATTATCAATTGTCTCGTCTACTGTTGTTATCTTAATGTATTGCATTAATCGAGAAAAATCGGTAAAAATCGGTAACGAAATCGGTACTATTATACGTCACTCGAGATCGATCGGCATCGAAATTCGCGATAATATTGACAACACAACGTCGAAGCAAATAATACTCGTGTTTATTACATACGTTTCAATTTGGTCATTTCTGATATTTACTGCTTTCATCGAGAACTATGAATTCTTAATTTACTTCTTATCAATGTACTCTTGCGTCATAACGATCACCAACTTGTTCATGCAATACACGCTAATTTTACACCTGACAAAATTTTTCTTCAAAAAACTAAACGTCAGTCTTTTAATTTTCTCCAAACACTCTTTGTGTTGGTACAGCGATCGATTGTCATTGATGCGATACGAGACCACGAAAATTGACCGGCTGGAACAGTTGCACAAACTGTACTCGCTCCTGAGCGAACTTTCGCGCGATTTGTCGGATTTCTACTCGTACCCTATGTTTCTGGCCTCGATAAATATTTTTGTAGCCTTGATTTTTCCAGCTTATACACTAGCAAAACCAATTGTTTTGGGAAAAAGTGATCTTTCGAAGTTGATGTTTACTCATGTACTTTTCTACTGGTCACTTTGTGCTGTTACTGTGGTTTTTCTAACTACTGCTGTCAGTGCTGTTGTGCAGGAGGTGGGTCTTCATTTTAAGTTTGTATTATTACAGATACGAATTTAGATTGATCTAATAATCATGATATTATGTAAATAAACTAGAGTAAAAAAAGTGGACAGATACTCAATAATTATTTGCTGAGAGTTGAGGATGAAAAATTTGCTGCTAAGGTAAAAATAAATTCATAAATCATTGAGCGAAAGTAAAACTGATTGTAAAATGGTTTTTCAGGTCATCCAGTTTTCTCATTACCTATCGCATACAACTATCAAGTTTTTTGTCTTTGATTTATTTTCATTGGGCCAATCTTTATTGCTGTCTATTGCTCAATCTATAGCCACATATTTAGTGATACTTTTTCAATTTAAATCATCATAATAGTTAAATATTTAAATATAATTTGGACATAAAAATTTACTCATACTTAATAGGTACTCTTTTTTATATTTTCCAACCATGAAGACGAGAAATTTGTTTTAACAAACATTTTAAATATAGTTTAGCAAACATTTCTTTTATCTTCTTGTGTGCCTCAAATACACCAAAATAAGAAACAAAGAACAAGTACTGAAAAGGTCAATTATGTACATGTAGTGAGAAAAATTGATTTATGTTAGCAATAAATTAAGACAAATTTAATAAAATAAGATTGCTTGCATATTTCTGGGATTTGTTGATTCTCTACTTGTACTATACAGTTACGTTTAGAAATACATCAAATTTTTGTATCACACTAAAAATTTTAACACTATGAAATGCATATAATTATGATGTACACATGTTTTTTCAATGAACCATAGTCGTATTTAAAAAATGAACGTAATTTTGTGATTTATTCCTGCTCTTAAATTTTGTGGCTTATAAGAGTTAAATACAATTATTTTATACATTTTTAAACACTTTGGACAATTTTTTTTTTTTGATAGAGGTACTTTTTTTGCTGAGAAAAATTTTTCGTATTACCATTTGAAATACATTTCTACATTTTTTTCTCTTTCAAACTGTAATATATTAAATTGTAAAAGATTTCAATCGATACTATATTATATGAAGTAATTGAACAAATTTTTTTTGTCCTAAACTGTGGCTTATCATCGCAAATGTTCGATATTTTCTAAATATACATATGGCACAATTTATCATTAAAATATTTTTTAAACTCAGCATCAGGATATTAATCCCATTGTCATTAAATCAATGTTGTTAATCAGATTCGATGTGCATTGATATAATGAACAAGAGCGTAAGTATATTTTTATTCAAGGGCATCTAAATTTCCTCTAAATTTTAGTACATGCGCTACTTTTATTTTGTTTATGTAAACTACTATTATTTTAAAACGATATCTTGATGAGATAATGGATTAATGATCGAAGCGTGTGCAATTAATTTTACTATGCATTCATGAATTGAATAAAAGAAAAATCACTACACTCAGATTTCTTAAGTTAAATGTAATAATAATCGGTACAGCAATTATCATTTCTTCCATTTCATCCATACATGACTACTTATCAAACATATTTTCCTTGTCTTTAACTTGCAGCAGAACCAGAAGTACGACCTTAAAAAACAAAAAAAACAAAAACAAAAATAAGCCATGACTCATCTGCTACTGTCCATCTTTTCCACTATGCTGTTGTCGAATATTCTCAAAAGCGAAAAGAAAGATTCCAACTACACGCGCAAAAGGCTCAAGCACTGCCCGTATTGCACAAACTCTTTTTCCCGAAAAAAGGACGTTGTTAGACACGTTAAAACCTATCACCCTTACCACTGCTCTTTTTGCTCGTCAGGTTTTTCAAAACACGAGGATCTTATAACTCATTTGGTTAATCAGCACAAATGTCGCTCAATGAAGTCAGCGCGTACAAACGAACAGCGATCATGTCTTGCTTGCTAGGGTGCAACAGCTTTCACCATAAGTGTGGATATTTTTACCCTTAATTTTTTTAATGGGATAGGCAGGATTTATGTGCACTGTATGTGGCGTACATGTAATCAGAATTATTTTATGATCAAATTTTTTTTTTAAACGGATGTTTTCGAAAAGCTAAAACTAGAAAAAGCAGTATAATTCTAGTATTGTTTAATTATCTTAATTTAGAATGATGTTGAAATAATTATATTACATTGGGCTCAGGGAATTGTCAAACTTTATTTTATCATTACTTTGCTGAGTTCAATAATATCTACAAATTAAAAAAAATGGCCATGCTTATGCAGGTGTGTATAAGAATTTTCTTATGTACGTGTGATATTATTTATGTATGCATGGGTGCAATCAACATTTTGAATTTCATGTAATTTTTATAGGATAAATATATCTTTCTAAAATTTCTCAAACAGTTTTATATTTTAGTTATGAGGATAAGTAAATTCTTTTCATACATATAATGCGATCGAGAGCCTTATTAAAATATTTTGGACAAGATTAAAATTAAAAAAAATATTCTAAAAATTTGGTGTGGTGGTTTGATCGAAGGATTATATAGTGACCATATGTAAGCTTATTACAATGATTATACAGATGCGTATAAGAATTTAGTTATGTATAGGAATGTGGTTCTACAAAGTTTTTAACACTTTTATATTTTAATCATGCGGATAAATAAATGTTTTTTCATACATATAATGTGGTTAAGACATTTATTAAGTATTTTAGACAAGATTGAAAAAAAAAAAAAAACCTAAAAATTATGTAAAAATGATCTGCTGAATTAAATAATTCAAACTTGTGTATAACAGTTAGCTGAGAATGATTATGTAAAAATGATTATTTGCAAATATTTTGTTTATACCATATAAAGACAATGCCTCATATAATCAAATATGATATCTATGAATTTAAATAATCGTATACAACATTTATATGTATTAAAAATGTAATATTCAGAAGAAAATATTTTGCGGTACAAACATGTCAATATGCGTTAGTTGTTACAATTATTTAATTTTTAGAAATAGGGTAACATATGTATTTTATTGAGATGTTGAATTTCTACATATTTTGTAGTACTATTATTGTTGATGGTTATATGAACTGTTTCAAAATAAATATTATTTACTAGCTTTTGTTTTTTGTTTACTGTTTGTTTGTCTGGGAGAAATCTAGAAATCGTTTCTTTAACAACTCGATATTTACTCAAGTACTAAAATCATGCTTAGCTAACCTCTGGTTCTCTTAATACCATAATAATACAGTGTATTGAATATCATGGTAAATCTAATGTGTCCACCACCACAAAATGGCTTTTTTTTGTAATCCTCTTGATATGAATATCAAATGAAGAAGTATTATTACAATTAAAAAAAAATTAGTAAATTTAAAAAGTATTTTATATAGTTGTATTAAAAATTCGCCAAACTAAAAAAAATATTCAATTGAATAAAATGTTTTTTAAATTACCACAAGTTTCGTTTTATAAAATAAAATATTTAACGGAACGAGGTAAAAGAAATTTTTTAGTTTCAAAGTATTGGTTGCTCAGTTAAAAAAATTTTTCCATATGGGTATAAAATAAAAGGATGTGTGACAAATATAATACAGTAAGCTGGAGAGCGTCATGTTAAATCCCACATAGCAGATAAAATAAAGTGGTGGATGAGAAATCTCTTTATAGCTCCTTTGAATGAGATATTTAGTAAAAAGATTTCACAACTAATAAAAAAAGTTGCATTAATTTGAATCTATTATGGTAGCTACCACCAAATAGCGAATTGCTTATTTTTTCACAATCGTGTTAACGTCCTAAAGATTATAAAGTTTTAAATCAAATAGTGACATTTTGATGTCTTATGTTCAATTATAGTATGCATTAGCATATAAAAAAATAATAGTTAATCGTAGCATCTAATTTGTTCTTTTCATTACCTGAGTGACATTATTTTTTATTTTAATTAGGCTAATGTTTCTTATTGAACGCGATTACTGTCATGATAATCGAGTAAAAAAAGTGCATGTTCAGTGGTTTTAAACTATACGGACTAAAATTCATAAGAAATGTGTTTTAAAAATTATGTGCTTGATAAACAATTTCTCCTTAAATTTTTGTTTTATTACTTTAAATTTTTTGGAATCGCACCTTTAAATTTGAATATTAAAACTGCAACGAATAACAACAATAATATTCCGTATCAAATGTTTACCTCTTGTAAATATAATGTTGTTTATAACATGATGTTGATGCTGACAATGACAATTTTCTGTGTATTTTCTATTTTATTTTATTACAAAAATATTTTACGAATCGATTTTGACAGGATAATCGATATCGTCCAGGACATATTATCAATTGTCTCGTCTACTGTTGTTATCTTAATGTATTGCATTAATCGAGAAAAATCGGTAAAAATCGGCAACGAAATCGGCACTATTATACGTCACTCGAGATCGATCGGCATCGAAATTCGCGATAATATTGACAACACAACGTCGAAGCAAATAATACTCGTGTTTATTACATACGTTTCAATTTGGTCATTTCTGATATTTACTGCTTTCATCGAGAACTATGAATTCTTAATTTACTTCTTATCAATGTACTCTTGCGTCATAACGATCACCAACTTGTTCATGCAATACACGCTAATTTTACACCTGACAAAATTTTTCTTCAAAAAACTAAACGTCAGTCTTTTAATTTTCTCCAAACACTCTTTGTGTTGGTACAGCGATCGATTGTCATTGATGCGATACGAGACCACGAAAATTGACCGGCTGGAACAGTTGCACAAACTGTACTCGCTCCTGAGCGAACTTTCGCGCGATTTATCGGATTTCTACTCGTACCCTATGTTTCTGGCCTCGATAAATATTTTTGTAGCCTTGATTTTTCCAGCTTATACACTAGCAAAACCAATTGTTTTGGGAAAAAGTGATCTTTCGAAGTTGATGTTTACTCATGTACTTTTCTACTGGTCACTTTGTGCTGTTACTGTGGTTTTTCTAACCACTGCTGTCAGTGCTGTTGTGCAGGAGGTGGGTCTTCATTTTAAGTTTGTATTATTACAGATACGAATTTAGATTGATCTAATAATCATGATATTATGTAAATAAACTAGAGTAAAAAAAGTGGACAGATACTCNTAGAGTAAGAAAACTGGTCACGTACTGAATGATTATCTGATGAGGGTCGAAGACGAAAAACTAGCTGCTAAGGTAAAAAAAAATATTTATTTCTATAACTAAAAAATTATAAAACTTATTTAAAAAATGATTTTTTAGGTCAATCAGTTTTCTCATTACTTATTACATACAACAATTAAGTTTTCTGTTTTCGATTTATTTTTATTGGATAAATCTTTATTACTGTCTATTGCTCAATCCATTGCCACGTATCTAGTAATACTTTTTCAATTCAAATCATAATATTCAAATATTGCAATAACGCTAAGTTTTAAAACTTTATTCGATTTGAATTTTAGTCCATGTTTTCTAATGTTTATACAAGGCTCTCTGTGTACTCTGTTTGTCAACCCCTGGAATTGTAATTGAAAAAATAATAAACGAATTTTCAACTGATTGGTTTTTATTGATTTTTTCCTGTGTACGGTTGTTTAAAAAATAAATGTGTGAACATCGATCTATTTATTTAATAACAACATTCATCTTATTGTGAGTATCACTATTTTTATCTCGTATTTTCATGGTTATATCGTGTCTTTATTCCTGTATCTTTTATACCTCCATCCTTTATCTTCACTCTTTTATTACATTTGCTTAAGTATTTTCTTAACTTATATATGTGTACCTACATCTCTGAATTTATTTCACTGTTTCGATATCAATTTCTGTGTGTTTATTACTGCATTTGAGCTAGTGTCTATAATTCTGACTGAAATTTCCGGCTTTGCTTTTTTATATGGTATTTATAAATGCATACACTAAATACATGTATTTGAAAGATTTAACTCCTGATTTTTGTGATTTCTCTTTATATTCCCAATAATTTTCTGCAATCGTTACCTATTTTGTTGAAATAATAAATAATGTAAAAAAAAAGTGACGGGTTAATTAGTAATGAATCAATACTAAAAAAAGACTTTAACATTTAAGAATTTTTACTGTCGTGTTTTGTTTATTTATTTCATACAATATTTTTGCGTGAAACAAACTTTTTCTAGATTTTTTTATCTTTGAATTAATTAACTAATTTAGTCTATAAAACGTGGGATTAATTATCGTTTACATTATTGCTAAGTATAAAACATAATATCTCTTAAATTTAACCGAGAATAAATAATAATATAATAAATACTGATGGCTTACGTGCGATTTTATATTTAATTACCCTAGAGTTCGGTTGAAGTACGATAACACTTCTCCTCGAAATTAATATGAAAGTAATACACAATATTATACAAATTGCAAATCTGTAACGTTTTCAAACTTAGATGCATACAACAATGCTTGTTTTTATTGGACACACGATTCGCCTTTTATTTATTTGATGTTATACTATTTTTAAGAGATAAATTAAATGCAAAAGAACAGTACGATAGATTATTTTAATCCTAAATGGTCTGACTTGCTGTACTATAATAATAAACACGAAAAAAATTTGTTTTTATTTTAAGCCTATTATGTCACTTGTCTAGCCTTAATATATTATTATGTCGCGAATAAAAAAGGTTTTAAAAGATAAAAGTTTAATTACAGTCATTTTTAATGTACATCGCGATCATCTCTGATAATATATTATTTTGAAACTAGCTACGCTTCAAAACGAGGTCCTTTTGATTGTGAGACTTTATCTCCATCATCAATTGGACTACACTAGTTATAAATTTTTTTTTGTTTAATTATAATATGGCAGTTTCTTAGCATCTTTTGGCTTTGATAAATCTTTAAATTTTACACATTTTTAATTTTTTGTGTTCATTGAACTGGACACGAATTCAAATGAATATTGTAGAGCTCGTACATATCAGTCCAATCGCGTCGTTCGCCACCAATTTGGACGTTACGCAGACATCCGTTAAAATAATCCCTCGTCATTAAAGTTCCTTTAGGCGCAGAATCTGAAAACAGACGAGGAATTAACATTTTTTACAATACAAATGCGAATTTTTGTAAGTACTTCTAAGATACAACAAATCCTGTACCTGGTATTCCACCAATGTAGAGAGCATTTGTGATAACAGATCCAATGAAGTGACCGCTGACTTCAGTTGGCAATCCATACTTTTGTTCTAACTCGTCGACCTTAAGGGTGAGCTCTTCGTCGTTGTAAATAGCTTGAATCCTGTGCCACCGGTTGTCGCATACTGTGTACGGGTTCTTGAATTCTTGTTCTACGTGCAATACTTGATTGTATCCAAAGTCGCTGGACATTAAGATTTTCCCGTTGTACAACTCTAGAGATAATGAAGGCGTGCCTTCGGAACTCGTTATGGACAGCAATACACCTGTCAACTCCGAGGTGCGAAACTCCAACTGTAACTCCAGGATGGGCCCGAGTTCAAAGTTTTTTTCTAAACAAGGACATTAGCATTAGAGAGTGGTTTAATAATTTTACAAGTTTGTTGAAATATATTTGCTCATCACAAGTCCAAACTGCACTTTTTTTTTGTTATTAAGAATTTGAGATACGTTTAACTTACTGTAAACGGCATATGCTTCGTCTTGAAAATAAGCGCCGCTCTCGACATTTGGAAAGCATTGGCCAACATTAACTGGTCTGCTGGTGGAGCCTACCATGTCATAAATGTTGCCATTGACTTTCAAGCCTCGTATGCATCCTTTGAGAGTTTCTAGCTTAGAGACAATCTGTTCCGGCAACGGAGTTCCACTTTCTGGTATACCACCGATGTACATGACGTTGGTTAAACCAATTTTCTTCGGCACTCTTACAGACATTGGCGTTTGCGTGTCGACGATCATCGATAGTTTCTTGCCATCGTGACCGATCGTCACGTGATGCCAGTTGCCATCGTTGAACGGAGTTTTAAATAGCATTTCCTTCTTTTGTTTGCTCTTGATTATCAAAAGCAGTTGGCTGTCTCGGATCATCACTACCAAATAGTTTTTAATACGAATTCCCTGAAATTGAAGATAAAAGCCACCAATGAAGCAAATCGAACGAGATTTGTACCAATGAATAGTAATCGATGCCCATTTCTTCTTCTTTGTTTCACTTACCGGAGTAATAAAAAGCAGACCGTTAGGGTAGTAAGTTCTAAAATCGAACTCTATCACTTTCTTCTGATTCCAGAAATTTTCGAAATTTAAGTACAACTGGGTGTGACTTTGAGGTTTGTCCCCAAATTTAAGCGCACCGGGTTCCAGAGAATAGTAAGGGATCTTTTGACAACCCTCGGGTTGAGTAGACAATCCTCTGGACAGAGATGCCGATGATGAGTATGCTGGAGAATCCTTGCCCATCAGTGGACCCGCACGACCAATGTACGCGTGCTCGAATCTCAAAGCCTCATCGAAACTTACGATTTTACTGAAAAATTCAAAAACACACTCATTAGTGTGAAAATTTTAGTTTTACCGTAATTATTTTGTAAGGAAAAAACTTACTCTTCATCAAAAATGATGTCTTTGATCGCACCAATCAGTGGCGCATTCGTAAATACCATTTTTGTATTGTTGATAAGGTGTGGGAGCCCGCCAATGTACAGACCACCGGATTCCGGTGCCTTGACCGCCGCACTCGTGGGTAGTCTTCGATTCACTTGATAAGCGTCATCTATCCTAAGTTCAACGTCTTTTCTTCTCTTTGTCACGGTTACCATATGATATTTACCGTCGTCAAATGTTCCGTTGGACAACAGGATCAGCTCACCTCTACCTCCGTTTATTCTAAATTGCACGTGACCGTCGACTATAGCTACAGAGTAATAATTGTCCTTCTGCAGAAGACAATCAAGTATGTGTTATTTGCCAGTTGAAAGTGCACATAGAAGTTTTTGTAGTATTGATTTATTTATATTATTTACATTAGTATTATTAGAACTATCAGTATCCATAAGTAAATCTTGATCAGGATCGGGAATGCCAAAAAGTTTCTCCTCAGGTCCCTGGAACGTCGACAACAAAAGCATGGCATTGCTTTGCAACGTTCTAAACGAAAAGCTGATGGAAGAAAATTTTTTACGAAGCTGATGGCCAGGAAGTTCCAAGTAACCATCTCCATAAAAACCAACGGTATTCATTCGCTGCGAGAAAATTAAAGACCATTTTAGTAGTGCACCTCGTTAGGTTTATTTCATGATTAACTTTCTATTTGTGATAAGTTCGAGGAATATTAAACTCTTTAAGACCAACCTTACGCCTGCAGCCAGGCTCAACGCCGTAATAATGCTCAGCCATAGGATCGTATCCTTCTTGCACAACAATGTTAGACATGCATCCGAGGAAGGGGAAGTGCGTTGGCAGAGAAAATCCATCGATGCGAAAACTGGGTGGTACACCACCGAAAAAGTATTTAGCATTCGATAAATCAGGTATATCTTCCTGTCGGGGTTGAGGTGTCGGGGCTCCGATCTTTTTGTCGTACTCCCCGTCGACGCTAAAACTGCACTTTTCGGTGTTCTTACGTGACTGGAATTGTCGAAAGGCATCCACTTTCGTCCAATTTCCAGTGTTGTAGCGGGACGACGATGTCATTTCCATACTGATATTGTTACCATAAACTATGTGAAGGACTACGCGACCGTCCCTCAAAAATATCATGACATGACCATTGGGCTGGTGAAAACAATATATGTTTTTTTAATGAGACCGATGTACGCCAAATATTATCAGCTACAGAAAAAAGTAACTTCATTCTTACATTATCGGGATCAATGGCCAAGAAGAGTATGGCATTCTCATCGTACGTCTTAAAGTTAATGGAGACTCCAAAAATATATTTGTTGTAAGGACCAGATATCACTCGTGATCTTACCGCGTAGCCTTCGCCGTTGAAGCTATATGCAAGGTCATTACCTATGTTTTCAACCCTACAAAGAGATGTACGTGTATAATTACATCAGCTCAATCATACAAGTATATTTTACGAGAAGATGTTATAAAACTGTTAGCAAAATAGTAACACATCAACAATTATATGAAGATTTGACTTTTGATACCAAAGTACATTGTATTACCCTTCAACACAAGGCCGGCAAGCATCGTCTGGCTCGTTGCTAATAAAATTCCACAGACCGATCTGTTTTCCATTGAGTAGAAGTTGGTGAACACATCCTGGCAAGCCGTTTGAAGCCAGCAATTCCGGTGGTTTCATCTGCAGTTCTGGAAGACCGCCAAGCCACACACGATCCATGCTTGTGACATCGAAGAGTCCGAATTCCGAGCTGGTTTCGTTGATGACTGCAGAATACTTGCTTGTTTTGGTCAACTGCTTTATCACACTTAACTTGCCAATGTGCCTTATCCTGAAATGACAAATTGTGTGATGTTTCGAAATAAAGGTGCATTTAATGAATCATATAAATGATATACCTTTCGGCTTCGATGCGATACCACAATGAATCGTTTTCAGGACTCCCAGTTTCTAGAACTTCAGGATGAATGATCATTCCAACGCCCCCACCAACGTTCCATACGAATCTTATTTTCCGGTTAAACATTTCCAAAGCCATAAAATCATCCTGAAAAACAGATTTGAAAATTAGCAGGTTTTAATACAGTTCAATCCAACGTATCATTTGCTTTAGAACTTCAATAGTTTTCTCTTACATTTATACTGCTTGCAAGATAAAATAATATTCCTTCTTTTCGATTGTGAGGAATGGCGAACGTCATACTGATCGTTGTGGTAGACGACGGTTGCAAATTCCTTACTCTATAAGACCTAGTGCATCTTTTACCCTCAGCGGATTTTATGGAAACTCGAATCTGAAAAGTTATTCTAGTACACCAACAATTCTCTCGCAATAAACCTTTGTTTTTTTTTAAATCTTTTTTCAACAACACATCTTTAAGTTTGGAATTCTAAGATGTTAGGAAGTACATTTTTAAAGATAATTTTTAACTTACTCCATCTGCCGTATTTCTCGCTTCAGCAATCTTATCCTTCAGAATTTGCAGTTTATTGGCCAACGTTCCGTTCCACTTATCAAACTCTTCTTGCCGTTTTATGGCAGCTATCGTCATACTTGTCAGCTTGGCATCAGCTTTCTTGATATTGCTCTGAGCTTCGGCGACTACGGTTGCAAATGTATAAATTAATATACTTTTACTGCCTAAATGATTCACCACTATCTAATACTCTAAGTATATGAACTTACGTTTTTCACTAGCAAGGCTTATTTTAGAATCCCCTTCGCGTTTCAAATCCTGCAATTTTGGATTGAGCACGTCGATAATACCTTGTTGATAATCCGAAATCAGCTGTCTCGTTTGGACAATGGACGCAGCTGTTTCCAGATTTTCTTTCAATATATCATTTAATCTTTCTTGTACTAAAAACAAATTAATGAATCGAATGAATTCCACTACTAGCTTTTCAATTGTTTCATAACTTACTCCTTCGACTATCGCTCTGTAATTCACGTAGTTTGAGGTTGATTTGATTATCTTTCGTGCCCGAGCTGTTAAGGGATATTTTCAAGTCCGAAACTGCCTGTTTCTGATTTTCCAATTGTCCTCTTGCTTGAAAAATCGGTTGATAGTGATTTCGAGTCCTTTCCACTTGTTCTGTTGATCGTGCTGCTACATCCAGAGCATTATCCAACAACGTATCGGAATCTGGACCACGAAGATATACCTTCGTGTAGACGAATCAAACATTATTTCAAATACAATAATTAATTACGCGAGTAGTTGCAAAAATAATGGTTGCACCTTTCGATGAACGTCGTCAAGTATATCGTTAGCATCGTATGCTGCTTGTTCAGCTTCCATCAGCCCGTCAACTATATTTTTGTAAGCTTGACTTGCTTTCAAAGGATTGGCTGCTTGAGCCCTTGTTTCGGAGAATAACCTGTGCAAAAGAGTTTTTTTTAAACAGTTTCCTCACAATACTATATTTATATTACAATATTTCTGAGAGCATAATTTACCCCACATATTGATCAACGTAGTTGGAAAGATTTTGAGCGTGAGATGTTGCTGGTATCACGTACTTATTTTTATATTCGTAATTCAACCTGTATAGGATTTGTTCTTTAGTAGAAAGGTTGGTCGTAGCTTCTGATAGTTTATTTTTTATTTCTGGTATGTCCTACGATGAAATTATGGTAAAATATTGAAATAACATTATTGTTGTAGTAGCACGCTAGGAGTTTCCAAAAGTTACCTGTATGTTGTTTTCGCTATCGACGACACATCCTTTGGCCTCGACAATGAGATTTTGTCCTTTGTTAAGTGACCCATTGATTTCTGAACTTTTGTCACTGATTTCTTCTTGTTGGTACGACAGTACTTCGTAAGTCATATTGATTTCATTGTACAATGTATCGTAGCTGAACATAGTTTCCATCGTATTCTCCATTATTTTCATCATATCCTTCATTTTTACCGAAAAATCATGAGCTTTCTCTTTCGCACTGTCCAACGGTTCGATCAAAGCAAGCAAGCTATCCAGCCAGTCAATGTACTCGGTGCACTCGCTATTATTTACAAACAAAAATTTTGGTAATTCTGTTGTGTCGTACGTAAGAAAAATAAGCGTTACGAATCTCAAACTTACTTGGTTAAAACCTCGAATACTTTGGTTTGCTTCGGCAAATCGAGAAGTTTCATTTCATTCAAAATCTGCTTCGCTTCCTTAAGAACCTTTTTAATCTCAACCTTTTTATCATCGTTCCCGTAGTAAACCACTTCGAAAATCGTATCTGAAAAAAAAGACACGTATACATCATCCCCAACCATCCATTTACTTCTCTCGCAGCATCCTTACCGTTAATATCTTTTTTCAATCCCTCGATCTCCATCTTCAAACTGTAGGCGTTATTCTGAATGTCACCGCTCTGCGACTTTATTATCCTGGCGTCGTTGACCTTCTCAATTACCTTCCGACACACGTGACAATGTTGTCATACATAATATAATCACGATATTTACCGAGTTGAAAATTGACAAGGAAACTTACTTTACTCAACAGAGATTCAGCCCGTTTCGCCATGAGCTTGTAATCGTCCCAGGGAATACTCCTCACTTCGTCCTCGATTCGCCTCCTGGCTTTTATCTCCCCGTACAAGCTCGTCACGTTGTCGTCCATGTAAGCCAACTCTTCCCAAGGCGGTGCTATGTAACCGGCCGAAATGTGGGTCGTCGCGTTTATCAGCTCGTACTTCAGGTCATCCAAATCGTCCAAGAGCAAACCGGTGCAGTTGTCGTTGCATGCTATTTTTGGATGAAAATAAAAGTAAACATGTTATTTTTACGTTCAGGCACTGCTGTTGGGTAAAAGATGCAAAATCTTGTCTTGACGTGGGAACTCACAAACGCAGTTCGGGCCAACGAAGACGTGACGCTCGGCAGTGCATTGGGAGCAATCGCGCCCGGTCGATCCGGGCCTGCAGTTGCACTGGCCGGTCTCGGTATCGCACTCGTCGCTGGCGCTGCCCGCTTCGTTGCAATTGCACGGCTCGCAGCGTCCGCCCGGTGTACTCGGGTAGCCGTAGTGTCCATACGAGCAACGCTCGCAACGTGCCCCTGCGTACCCTGCGTTTGACGGAACAAGGATGCTATGTTTTATTTTTATTTTTTTTTTTTAATTAGGTTTGGTTGCTCATTTGGGATATTGGAATTGTATAGCGTTGAGGCCATGAGGGAAAATAACTTTGAGGATCTTACGAGGGGGTCATATTTAACCGAAATAATATTTACCGACTAATAAAACTTCCGAAAAAACTTTGGTCCGTAATCAAATTTACAGAAAACATACTAAGCCGAAAGAGAGTTTTACCGAAATTTTTTATGCCGAATTACCTACAAAAATATTCGGCAAAAAATCATTCGGTAAAATGCATTCGGCAAATTTTATTTTCGGCAATTATTGATTTCGCAAAATATGTATTTGAGATAATTACGTAATTTCTCNTATAATGCGATTTCTACAGTCTTGCAGCATAATTTATTTTATTTTCTGTCAGCGTGTGTATGAGAAATTACGTAATTATCTCAAATACATATTTTGCGAAATCAATAATTGCCGAAAATAAAATTTGCCGAATGCATTTTACCGAATGATTTTTTGCCGAATATTTTTGTAGGTAATTCGGCATAAAAAATTTCGGTAAAACTCTCTTTCGGCTTAGTATGTTTTCTGTAAATTTGATTACGGACCAAAGTTTTTTCGGAAGTTTTATTAGTCGGTAAATATTATTTCGGTTAAATATGACCCCCTCGATCTTACTTTCTAAATTGTGAAACAGTACTATTTCAAAATTAGTGGAACTTTACTACTTTGTCTTATCACTATACTTAGTTTACGCTGACCAATACAGTTAGCCTTCTCAAGTGGATTGTCAGATTTAAAGTCATTCTATAAGATAATAGTTGAAAAAGTATTTTCGGTATTATTAAAATATTCAAAAGCATTATCAAACAACTTGTACTTCGTTTACAGAATTAAAAAAAAAAAAAAAAAGGGTTAAAACCTGTCCTTACTACTTGTAACTATAGGAAATAGCGATTATTCACTGTTTCATATTTAGAGTTTACTTAAATTTATGACGTCTCGTGATTTCTCTAGAACATATGTTTCAAAAAGGTGATAATGAAAAAAAAGTTAGTTTTAATTGATTTTCATATAGATTTATTTATTTCGTTTAGAATAAATAAATATATGTAAAAATCAATTAAAACTAACTTTTTTTTTCATTATCACCTTTTCATTACGGATTTTCATCAAGTAAACACCAATTCGATTGATTACATGTATTTCGTTACGAACCTGGTTTGCAGACACAAACAACCTCGTTGTCCGGTCGCAGGACACAAGTGTTGGAGAACTTTTTATCGGTTTGGGGACACGGGCACTCCTTGCAACCACCAAAGTTTGGATCCCCGTAAAAGCTTTCAGCGCAGATCTCGCAGTTGGGGCCCGACGTGTTTTCCCCGCATCCCTGTAGCAATAAAATTCTTCGATAAGTCACAAAAAGTAAAAAAAAAAAATAACCCATAACGATTCCATTGTGCGAGAAGATTATGAGGGTCATACACACCAGACAGTGTCCAGTCTCGGGATCGCAGAGCTCGGACCTGCCGTTGCACTCGCAAGCCCTGGCACGTCCGACGAGCTCGATGTAGCCATCGTAGGAGCCGCTTATGACACTGGTCACGTTGACCTCGACCCATCTGTAGTAGCCCTGGCTCGGGTCCTGGCAAGAGGTGCCATTGTAGTCGGTCGGACAGTCGCACTGCTCTATACCATTGGCGAGGGGTTGCGAGAACGCTGTCGGCACTGCCGTGTCGATCGAAGCCTCCAGAAGGCTGTTGGTGATTCGGCGATTCAGAATTTTTGTTTTAATTGAAGAAAGGTAGTGAAATAATACTCGTAAGTAAAAACACGCGATAGTTTTGTACAAAGACTGTGGGGGTGTGCTTACGTTGCTCTGGAAAAGTCGGTGAAGTCGGATGTCTTGACGAAAATGCGTTGAACATTTTGAAGGGCCACCATGAGGATCTCCCGCGTGACCTGTACATCCGCCCTGTTTTTCAATCGCCACGACGACTCGTGTAACCTAATGGCAAAAAATCGGTATCAAGAATCGCTGCCAGCTCTTGTGGAACTTTATTTTCATACAAAGTACAATTTCAAATTTTCGTTTTTAATTCCATTGTCCATGAGCAAGCGTAAAGTTTTATCAAAATTGTTAAAAGACACGACGACGGTTGGTAGTTTCGTGTTTCGATTTTATAAAAGCAACTGACATTGATGGCCGAAAAAAAAAGATTCATTAACATCCCTATCGAAATTTATAGCTGTCAATCGATGGGCAGCATGGATTTTCACATAGATCAAATGTGTTTTCCAAGAACACGTTCCTTTGTAAGAATAGTCATCGTGTTCGCAATTTGCAGCACTTGTATAAAATACATAGCAACATCAAAGTAAAAGGACTTGGGAGGACCCTTTTAACGTAATACAAAAACCCTGGACATATCCTAAGAAAGTTTCCGAAACAGTTGACAACCAAACTTGTGAAATAGCCAAAAATGAGCAAAAAATCATCAACACCCACTTTATATTTGTTAGAGATGTATAAAAGCTCATTACCTCACGACGTGACCATTGTCGTTGCTCGAGTTGGCCGGAAAGTGTTCGAGCACTATCCCGTTGCCCTGCAATTGAACGAGCGGAAACCGATGGCTCGATCGCAATACGTATCCACCGTCGGTTATCGTAGTGAACCGAAGGAATCCACCGTACGACGTGACCTTTGGGGGGCAAATTAATCATTATTTTCGTTGATACTTCTTGACGTGATTAAAACGAGGTAAAAAAGTGTCCATGTGTACTACCTTGTCCTTCAAAAAGAAATCCGGCAGTTGCCAGTAGATGGGACACTCGCGGTAAAAGTTGACGGGCAGGGTGACGTCTCCATCTGTACCGGGCACGACGTACAGGCCACTCGTTTTGTTCAAGCCGCTGTTGAAGTACGGCAGAACCAGGGACGAGCCGTAGCTTGTGATCTGTACACCCAAAGGGGTACGTATATTATTCTCAAAGGCTTCCCCCGAAACGATGATCGTTATCGCGCGGCTTCACGCACGATTCATCCACACCATGCATTTTCATTCATACGCGCGGCTATCGATCATCACACACATCTTTACATTCGCGAGTGTATGCATACGATGTCGAGTTGTATTTTTCAAGGGAAAAGCAGAAGAAGAAGAAGAAGAAGAAGCAGTCTGGAAAGGACGAAGGAGGAGGAGGAGGAGGAGGAAGATCATGTATATGCATCGGGACGCGCTTTATGAGCCCCAGGAGAGCGAGACAGGAGTAGCGAGGGTGGAGGGGGGGGGGGGAGAAAGGAGATATAAATCAAGTAAGGGCTGATGGCTTACAACGACTTCGTTAACGGTATCGTTGACGTAGAGGACCCGAGGCCGGGGCAGCCGGCGTTGGCCCCAGCTGAGGCTCGCCTGGCGGCACTCGCTCGTCCGGCCGAAGCAGAAACACTCGGTGCAGCCGTCCGGGTTGTCGGCCGACAGGCCAAAGGTACCCTCCGAGCACTCGTTGCAACGTCGCCCGACCGCGTTCGTCTGGTGCACAAATCGTCGTGTTGTAGTTCAATTTTGCTATTCAATTAGTTTTTGGAACAATCTGCCTATCGTTTAACTCTTCGAAGCATCGGGAGTTTGAGAATTAAAAAATAGCTTCCACTGACAAAATCGTTAAATTTTTTACTGATTTGGCTGGATTCAACAATTTCATGGCTAAACAGCTGCACTTAAACGGTATAACCTATGTAGGAAAACATTGAAAAACCTGGACTGCTTGAATCGAATCAGTGAAAAACGTATTGATAATGTCAGCGAACGTAATATTGACTGGAGAATATATTTCAGCCGACTGTCACCGAATCACCAGCCAACACCAGTTAAATTAAGATAATCACCGATTCTACCACTTGATTATCATTGACGGTTAATTGCGGCGATGGCAGCATCGAATTCCATGAAAAAAAAAAAAAAAAAAAAAGAAAAAAAGTCGGCACTGAAACATGCAGCCGTTGGAGGCTCACCTTGCAGGGACACTGCCCGAGTCCGTCGCACTGTCCCACCGTACCCTGTGGATCACACCCGCAGGGCCGGCAGTGCGGATAGTCGTAGTGCCCCGGGGCACACCTGTCGCACGCACGGCCCTCGAAGCCTTCCCTGCACGGGCACTGCCCATCCACCTGGGCGCACTGTTGCCTCTGCGACCCCGCCAAGCTGCAACCGCAACCCCGACAACCCAGCCCGGGACGTAGATCGTAGCTCCCGGGTCTGCACCTGTCGCAGCGCTCCCCGGTGCTTAGGGCCGGGCACGAGCACCTCCCGTTGCTCTGGTCGCAGATGTGACCCGGACGATCGCACGGCTCGCACGCTGTTTTAAAACAAATTTCTTTTTAAACATTTGGTCCGCGAAACAAAGGGGGAATATGGTATATAATATCTTCGGAGCTTACGCTGGCAACCGTCTTGAGAGAAACCATAGTAGCCGGGTAGGCACGAGTCGCAGCGCAGTCTGCCTATTCCGGGTTTGCAGTGGCACTGTCCGTTGGCATCGTGGCACGTCGCGTTGTGAGAGCCCACGGGGTCGCACTCGCAAGGCGAGCAACCGGCGCCTGTCACGAGACCCCAGTGGTTTGCCTAAAAGAGGTCGTGTACACTTGCATAGGGAGGACAGTTTGACTATTTACTGCTCGAACACATTGTTTTACTGGATTCGGGCACATAACGGCTTACGTTAATGCATATGCGGCTCGTGCTTTACCATCAAATTGTACATTAGAGATTACCAGGGTATTTTTAATGAATAAAGAAAATACATATCTAACCAAAGGTTTCATTCAGATACCATGGTAATCCATGATGGGTAAATGCCACAAATAAGATTTACCAATAGGATTTTTGTTTTCCCAGGTGCTCCGTGAAAACATTTATTTTCAATGGCAATTTTCTCTTTCGTGTGATTTTTCAGAGACATGAATTGACATAAAATTTAAAAGTTTGTACAGGCTTTTGAAATGACCAATCTTACCAAACAGCTCGAGCATTGTCTGCCAATTACGTTCTTTTTACACTGGCACTGGCCTGAGACGATATCACAGTGGGTTGTAACCGATCCGAGTGAGTTGCAGTTGCAATCTGTAATGAATAAATAAAAAAAACATTAATTATTTTTTTTTTTTTTTTTCAACTCAATAGTAAAACAAAATTTGCTAAAAATAGAACTAGACATATTGGACGTACTTTGTACGTTGTAACGTACATTTCGATAAATAATCATTTAAAATTTGTGTATATATTGCATCTATCTAAATTCATTTATAAAACCATCTTATTTTTATTTTGATCATCGTATAAAGCACGAGAGAAGAGAACGTGCATCTTTACAATAGAAAATGTATGTTACGTTTCAGAAATAGCTTATATTAAAATAAAGAAAATACAACAGGTATAGTCTGTTCAAGGGTGGAGTTGGATCATTTGACAGTTTGCTAGTCACAGAGACAACGTTTTTCTATGAGATAGAGGGTGAATAAAGATGTTTAATGAGATACCTACAATGAGAGTAATAAAATGTTGTTGGGAGATTTATTTTTGTGACGGAAACATTTGATGCAAAACGGAAACTGAACATCAAATTTTTTCCACATACTCCTATTCAGCTGAAAAAAATTGTGTAGCAAGTTCAAGCGATCATACATAATAAAGTTTAATAGTTAAGTGTTAAAAAATTTAGAACAAATAATAAAAGTGGTTGAAAAATTAAACAATTACATTAAACAATAAAAATTTGATCAATGAAGCTGTAACTCTACCACTGTGCCACCGTGGCGGTATAAACCCGTTTATAATTAAAACAAAAAAAAATTGATAATTTCAGCCCTTCAAAATCTGTAAATGAAATAAAAAATTTTATTGACCCAAAAAATTGTGTGCTTATATAATTTAAATGAATAAAAAAAAGACCAATGTCACCACAGTTTGATAAAGGGTGACCTTACCTATACACCTACATAATGAGAATATTATATTAAACAAACTTCAATTTCAGTAAGTTGTGTGCCTTACGAGTATAGCATGATGAAAATAAAAATTGCACTATGTAGATAATAATAATCACAAAAACAGACATAATACATAAAGTTTTTCGAATTTATTAATCAAGTACGATGAATATAAAAACATTAATTCGTTCCTTTATTTCTTCATTCGCATTTTAAATAGCAAACGTGAACTATATTATTTGAAAAAAAAAGAAAAGTTTTCAATGCATAAACATTAATTTTTCTGAGCTCTGTATACACTAATAAAATAATAAAAAACAAAAACGTTAGCTACACGAATATTGATATTTTTGCATCCCCTGCTCTAAATAAAAAATGAAATTAATGAAAAAAAAAAAAATAATAATAATAATGACAATAATAATAACGATAGTAATAATCTTGGTTGTAAAAGGAAAAAAACAGCTTCTATAATCAAGATTTATTTATAATTTTGATTACATACACATGTACACAACAGAAAAACAATAAGACCTTGTGGAGCGAGCGTGCCACAAACAAAGATTAAAAATGACACTAGCAATCTATTTGTTGTCTATACATAGCCCCTTTATCATTTTTTTTTTTCAATAATACGATGAAACAAAGCATTTCATTTAATTTGGAAATTATAATTTAGTAAAATAATTTGGAATACCATTTCACAGATGTGACAATATGAGCGATTGTAAGATCAGTATCTTGTTACTTGTAACTTGTTACTCATGCGTTATACTAATGACGCCAAAATATGTACTTCATTTAATTTATTTCGTACTTTGTTGTAAGGGAGTCAGAAATTTATTAATGTACAGTAAAAAAAATCAATAAATATTCTCTATTATTTTTTTCGGGTTTACCTAATCGCAATGAGGACATTCGTTGAACATCACAAAAAAAAATTTCAGTTGACTTCTTTATCAAATAAAGTAAATAGAAAAAACCTATGACTTATGTTAGTCTTTTGGAATACTTTTTATAAACAGTCTGCTTTGGAGCTTTGAACAGGTTAGGTCTCGATGTAATATTTAGACTCAATAAGTTAACATTACATACTTCCTTAACTTTTGTAGGAAACAAAATTCTTCGTATTAGTCAGATATTTATTATTAATGAAAATGATCTTATTTTAGATATTGCATCGGATTTTACATGAAAAAAAATTTTTTTGTTCTCTTTTTACAAATTTACTTTCATTTATTTCAGCCCACAATTTTTGCTGTTACGATGTTCCAAAAATTAGGAAAAAGGAGCAGATCGAAAAATTTCTCGTTTGTAAAAAAGTTATCATTTGTAAAACTGTTTTTCTTTTATAATCGAATACTTGGATCCATAACCTTCAATTTCAAAGAGATTTCAATTAGAAACAATAGTTTTAATCGATGGTCATTTACATTTTCTTATGCAGGAATAATTTATAAAGTTTGTTTATTAACATTCCTACTCGTAACTCAATATTTGTACCTAAGGACTTTTGTTGAAGTATTTGATGTACACTCAAATCTAGTCTCTCGGGTGTTTGCATATATTTATAATATAGTCTTTTTTTTATCAGTCAATTTCATTGTAATTCAAAGTATTTTTAATCAAAATACACTCATAACTGTTTTAAATAAATTCAATTTCGTGAAAGAAGCAGTAGGAGAATTTAATGGGAATATGTATGATAAGAAATGGATTTTACAAACGAAGATAAAATATACCTTTTTAATATTTTTAAAACTTATTCGTTACGTAATTGTATCGGTATATTTTAAGTTAAATTTTGAACATTCAGTGAGACCAATGTTAATACTAATAAGAGTAATAAACTTAATGATCATAGATGGAGTAGTGTTTCAATACATATTCTTTACCATCTCAGTTAAGGTTTTATTTAAAATGATATGTTGTCAACTGCAAAATATTTTTGAAGAGTCTCCTAATGTGGCACGTATTGATTATAATCTCGTCAGAGAACAAGAAAAACTACTGTTCACATTAAAATTACGGAAAATATTCATAACATTGATTGAAATAGCTCAAGATGTATTAAATTTGTACTCTACCGCGATATTTTTATGTATTTTTACATATTTTGTGAGTATATTGCGTTATGGTCAAGTTGTTATTAATTTTTTTATTGATGAAAATATTGAATCTCCCAAATTAAAATCAATTCCCTACTTAACAATGATCTTCGATCACCTAATCATGATTTTTTTATTAACTGAGTCTGCCGAGTCTGCTATTGAACAGGTAGTAAATTTTGAATACTTGCAATTTCATTACTTATTTCCAGTATGAAAATTTCATAACACTATTATAATTTACTTAGACAAAATGTGTAAATACTACTTTGATCCAGTGCATGATGAATAATGATAGCATAAAAATCAATAGCACCACATATCAAGTAAGATATAAAGCTGATGATGAGTAAAACAAGGAATTACAAAGTTGGAATAAATATGTTACGTTTCAGCTTCTGCTGTTTTCACATCATTGCAAGACTACGGATCTCCAATTTCAAGCCTTAAATGTTTTTTCACTAAAAAGAGCATTATTTTTATCGGTAAGTTTTTTTTTAATTTTTCGAAGCTATGTCCTAAAACTTGCAATATTTAATGTACGTAAGGAGGTAATTTCGTATTAAATTATCTGAAGTTGGTGTATTTAATTTTTCAGATAATGAGTGTAATTTCAACTTATTTAATAATTTTATTTCAACTCCAGCAACCGTACGATAAAAAAGACATTTGAAATAATTATTAGCTGTTTAGTGTCTACGTGTTCTTTGAACTGATGTTATATATCTTTAACAACTTATGATTATAAATAACTATTTTTTTAAATCTGGGATATTCTTTCTAAATATGTAGCTACACTCAGGCCTTCATTCATCACGATAGAATCACTGTAGTATCACCTTGTTAACTATTTATCTGCAATCTATGCGCAATAATAGGTAACTTTTTTTGTTAAAAGGAACTTTAATGTAGTTTAAAGTTTTAATGTAATTGCATTAGTATTTAAAAAAATATTTATGACAGCGAAGTGTATCTTAATTGTTTTTGCATAAATATTAAGAGTAGGAAGGTGGAATTTTTACTTTGATATTATTTCTGCTATGAGTAACATATAAGAAACTTCACATGATATCGTTATTATTGCGACCTCTACATCAGAGGAACCTATTATAGTTACGTTATTGCAAATACTTATTTGAATTATTTAATTAATTTTGAAGTTTTTTTGATGCAAATCTATAATAAAACATGAGTTTAATAGTAAAATTATCTAATTTTTAAATAATTATCGTATTTATTATTACATTACATTGTGCACATATGTGTATATTATGAGTACTACAGCTTACATGCAAAAGTATTGGAAACGTAGTAAAAAGAAGAAATTTAAAGGAAAGAAATTAGTCTAATTTATTAATGCGTTCGTATGAAACGTGTAGTACACAAGAGTGGATACATAAAAATTAAAAAAAATAAATAAATAAA